TGAAGGGCTCTGCTCAGGGCAAGGTCCAGTGGGGGAGGGAGAAGGGAAAGCAGAGAGTCCACCAGGGCCCAAGAAACTACTGGGGACCTCCTGTGCAAGGGTGGCCAGCCCCCACCCCTCAGAGTGAGGTCCCCAACTGCGGCTGTAACTGTATGTCCTGGGGCGGCTGGAGCCAGGCTGGGAAGCACCTCTTGGGCTGGGCACGTGGCACTGGGCGCCTGGCACCAGGAGCTCCTTGCCTACGTCAGCTGGTGCCTCTGCCCAGAGCCCCAGAAGCAGCCTTCTGTAGCCTGGGCACTGCTGGCACTGGAGCAATCCAGCTGGCCAACGACTTACCCCTTTGGGTTTCTAAACCTTCCCAGCAGCTCCTGACACAAGCTCCTTCTTCCTTCTCTCTCAGTCACTCAACAGCACTCAGACCAGACCTGGGTGACCTCAGGCAAGTCCCTTAGCCTCTCTGAGCACTCAGATCCCTGTTCGGGGTGACACAGGCCTAGTCCTAGCTTGATCAGGTCTTTATCCACATGGGCCTTACATTCCAGTGGGGCAGACAGACACCAAAAAAACTTGCTAGGGCAGGGGGCAAGAGTACGGTGCCCAAAATAATGTAGGACAAGGCTACTGCACCTAGGGTAATCAGAGAGGGCTTCCCCAAGGAGGTGACACTTCAGATGACTCATGAAGAATGAAAACTAGGCAACGGTGAAACCAGCTGGGGAAGAGCATACAGGCAGCGGAGGGGCATGAGCCAAGGTACTGGAGCAGGGAGAGGCCAGAGGGGAGAGGGTTATGGCCCTGGAGTGGCAGGCAGGCCAGGGCCAGTCACACTGTAGGATGAGTTGGGATGGTGCATGGAGAGCTTAGTAAATGCTATCCAAATGGTGGCATCCCACCCACGGCAGGACAAGCCTTGCCCCAGCTCTGGACGTGTTCCCCAGGACCCAGGGTCTTGCCCAGCTTGTTCTTACAAGGAGCCGGCTCCCGCAGAGCCTAGCTTTCCAGCCTCCCTGCTTCTGGGACAATCAGGTGCTTCACCCCCGAGCTCACAAGAGGGCACAGCTGTGATCTCTTGGAGGGGCACCCTGCCAGAGCACTATCACTGTCCTGGCAGACACTGCTGGCCATCTGTCTGCCCTGCCCTGCGTCTCTGGCCACCTCGCTCCTGCCTCTAGGAAACCTCTCCCTGTGTCCTCCTCAGGACATGACTAGGGTGTGGTCCCTTCAGGAAGGATCCTGTGCCCCTCATTGGGCACCTGCTCACGGTTTCCCCCACCTGGAAGTACTAATACATCCTGTTATTGCCCACTTCATGCCCCCTAACCTGGACACCCTCAGCATGGACTCCCCTCCCCTGCAAGAGCACCAGGCCTGGCCGAGGATGGGTGGGCTCCGGCAGAAATCCTCCTGGCATGGAGTGCCTGGCCCTTCCTGGGAGCAGTGTGGCTTCACCTGAGAAAGCAAATTGGAGCTCGCTTACCCAAGAGGGAGGAAGCAGAGGAGAACCCTAGCCTTGGACGCTGGTGGTCAGGCGTCTGCGTGAACTGCAGCTATCTGATGGGTATTCATGTCTCCCCCACGGCTCCACCAGCTGCCCCGGGACCTTAGATGCGCTCTGGGTATCCCCAGCCCCAAACCCAGTGCTGGGAGTGGTGGAGAGACACAATTGATGGGTTCCCAGTGACTACAACAATGATGGCCGGTGCTGATTCTGGCAGAGGCAGGGCTCTTTTGTACACTTCAATCGCCTCTTTTAACCCTATGAGACGCTATGATTAATTACCCCCGCCTTACAGACAGGGAAGCTGAAGCACAGAACAGTTACTCGACTGGCCAGGCTCAGTCAGGGAGCAACAGAAGCGGATCTGGGCTGTGACAATGTGGCGCTGGTGGCTCCTAGGGTAATGCTCAGGTTCATGGGAGCCAGGAGTGGAAATTTCACAGGCCTTTTACTCCCTCCTGTTCCCCAGCTCCAAAACACACAGACACACACTCTCTCCAGCCCCCAGTGCAGAGCCTCGCACACAGCAGTCACTTGGGAAACACTAGTTCCCTTCATACCCAGAACCATCTCAACGTGAGCCAAGTTTATTTCTGGGATATTCTGTTTGCTTGTCTCAAGGAGTCTCAATGGCCAATGAACACAGGCCCAGTGCGTGTACCGACTGCAGTCTGCGCCCACTGGTCAGTGCCTGACCATCCCCTTGTCCTGCCCCTGTAACCCCAGGCTGTAACCGAGCTCTGAGAGCAGTGCCTCTTCCCTTCCCAGACACCCCCATGCTCACATCCTTCGTGGAACTCTGGGACCAGCAGCGTTAGCTTCACTCCCCTAATACTCCCAGGGCCAACCGAGTGGCTAGAATCTGGGTTCAAGTCCTCAGTGCTCTGCCAGCAGGGAACAAATGTGGGTGCGCCCCCGTTTCAGAGCCATCCCAAGGGGAGCATGGTTCCTGCCCTGCTTACCTCAGGGGCCTGAGGCTCAGCTCTATGCCTAACACTCAGCAGCCAGAGGACAGGTCTGTAGAATGAAGGATAAAAATCCACTGTCAGCAGCTCCCAGTAACAAGCCACGCCTGGCCTCCGCTGCAGTGGCAATAGCAGATGCCTTTGTGTCTAGGGCCAGCTCTGGCCGGAAGCAGACCCCTCCCCCGACCCTTGCTAGGGTGTCCCAGGCACTATCTCTAGGAGGCTGGGCAGAGGAGAGGTGAAAAGGGGAGGCCCTCCTTGCTGCAGGGATTGGCCTCTGCAACCCCCAACATACCATGGATGGTGGGAACAGGCAGGATTGAGGCCAAAGCACCAAGAAGCCTGTGGGGCAGTATAAGGGCACAGCCAGCCTACACCCTCTAGCCCATTCCAACTGCTGGCAGCTTGGGAATGGTCCTCAGCCCCCTTAGAATCAGTGGCTCAGTGGTTGTGCGTTGACCTGTGAACCAGGAGGTCATGGTTCCATTCCTGGTCAGGGCACATGCCCGGGTTTTGGGCTAGATCCCTAAGTGGGGGGCGAACAGGAGGCAGTCGATCAATGATTCTCTCTCATCATTGTTGTTTCTATTTCTCTCTCCCTCTCCCTTCTTCTCTGAAATCAATAGAAACATATTAAAAAAAAAAAAAAGAATCGTCACCACTGCCACCTCTCCCAGAGACTCACCCCAGGCTGGCAGACCCTAGACCTACACACTTGACACCCTGCTGCTCTTTCCCCATCACTGGGGCCTGATGGGAGGAATCACAGGTCTCTCAGCAGAGGGCTCAGCAAGAGGCTGACCTTTACTTCAAGGGCAGCACCAGAGTAGGGGTAACTGCTCCCAACCCCAGATTTGTCATCATGGAAGGCAGAGGCAAAAGGGACAGCATGGATTTCACTCCTTACAAGGTCCTGGATTCTCCACCTTGACATTTAAAACCCTGAGGATCCCTAGACAGTTTGATTCAGTGGATAGTGTCAGCCGGCAGACTGAATGGTCTGGTGCTTGATTCCAGTCAAGGACACGCCCAGGTTGAGGCTTGATCCCCAGTAGGGGGCGTGCAGGAGACAGCCAATCAATGATTCCCTGTCATCAATGATGTTTCTATCTCTCTCTCCCTCTCCATTCCTCTCTGAAATCAGTAAAAATATATTTAAAAAAATTAAAATAAAAAAAATAAAATCTCGGAGCTCTGCCCACTCCAGTTCTGAAAGAGAACTTTCAGCAGCCCTTCAAGCAGCACCTCTGCTTGAGCTGAAATGGAGAGGGACATGGTGGCACCAGAAGTGTGGTATTCTAGCTTAAAAACAGCACCAAACGCCTGATTTCTAGGATACACAGTGGGGATGGGAGGGGAGATGGAGCCCTGCCCCTCCATCCTTTGTGCTCCTTTCACTCCAGGTCAGTACTTCACCCTGCTCCTCACCTAGAGAGGGGAGGGAGTTAGGGCCCAGCCCCACCTCCTTGGAGGGAGAGCACCCTGCAGCCCCTTATTGGGGTCTAGATCCCTATCCTCCACCCCACCCTCCAAGTCTCCTGGGTACACACCTGGCTGGTTCTTGCTGTGGGCTCCTAGGGGGCAGGGATGGGAGTTCTCTAGGTCCAGGAGAAAGGGTTATGGGATCTCCTAAAAACACTGGGCCTTGGTCCATGTTGCTCAGTGGTTAGAGCGTTGGCCCACATACTGAAGGGTCACAGGTTTAATTCCAGGTCAAGGGTATATACCTGGGTTACAGGTTCAATTCCCACCTGGTCTTTGGAGTGTTGTCATGCTCTGCTGCGGCCGCCAACTTGGTGGGGTTCCCCTGGCCCAGGGCTGTGCCTTTGTGGCCCCTTCCTGGGACCCAGTGTTTTCTTTTTGGTTTATCTATTTTTTTTTTCTTTTTTTTGGTAATCCTCACTCAAGGATATTTTTCCATTGATTTTTATTTAATTTAATTTATATATACTTTTTTTTATTGATTTCAGAGAGGAAAGGAGAGGGAAAGATAGAAACATCAATGATGAGAATCATTGGTTAGCTGCCTCCTGTATGCCCTCCACTAGGGATCAAGCCCACAACCCGGGCATGTGCCCTGACCAGGAATTGAACAGTGACCTCCTGGTTCATAGCCACCATTGATTTTTAAAAAGAGTGGAAGTGAGGAAGAGAGAGAAAATGATACAGGGAGGGAGAGGGAGAGAGAGAGACATCCATGTGTCTCTCTCACATCAACTGGTTGCCTCCCACCTGTGCCCAACCCACTCCTGCTCCTGCAGCACCAAGCACACACCTGCTCTTCTAGGTCTGTCAGCCCTGTCTCCCTGACCCCCACCATCAGTTCTCCACCTGGGAAAGGAAATGGGCACTGAGGCATGCCCCCAGCCCCGGCAGATGAGGAACATCTCCCCGCCTGGCTGAAGCCTGCATGCAGGGAAGCCCGGAGAGTGCCTTCCAGCGAGACCCTTCCTCATGGTAGGGGTGTGGGAAAGGAAACTCCGTGTTCTCAAGACGGATGAAGCCCCAACAACTCCCCTAGCTCTAATCCGCCCACTCTCCCGCCCATCTCCAGCCCTCAGCAAATCTGTTTCTCGGACTCCCTCAAACTGCAAGGAGAGGCTGAAAGCCTGGACTACGGACACTCAAAAAGCAGTCCGCCCCTACCCGGCGTGCCCTCGACCACGGAGGCTGGCACCCCCGGGTGGCAGTGCAGCCCACCGCTAGGATCCGGTTTTTGCAATCAGGTAGGTAAAGGTCAGGAAGCGCCTGTCCCCAGTCCCGGAATCCGGCGCGGGAGGGCGGGCCGGGGTGAATCATTAACCGGCCCCAGCCTGGCGCTCCTGGCGGCACCCGACATCTCCACAGACACCACGCACTTGCTAGCCCAAATCTCGATCCCTAACCTGGGGGAGGGACACTCCAAAACACACAGATGGACTGATGGACGGACGGACCCCCACCACCTCCTGGTCAAGCCCCCTGGAAGATCACGGTCTGAGGGACCTGGGCCCCCTCCTCATAGCTTGGAAACTGAAGCCAAGGTTCCAAGGCCCAAGGTCACCCAGAAGGCGGTGGCCGGCAGGGGGAGGGGGGGGGGAAGGGGAGCGGGCCTCCCGCCAGCAACTTTCCCGGATCCAGGAACTTTCCTGCCGGCCAGCAGCCCCTGAGTCCAGGCCTGGGCTCCTTCCAATGCCCCCGGAGCGCGCAGGCTCTGGGATCCCCATTCATCGTCTCCAGGCGCTCGGGCCACGGTGTGAGGTGGGTCCAGGACTTCGGACCCCAGCCTGGTTGCGCCCCCGCGGAAGCTCCAGTGCCGGCAGTTCCCAGGACCCGCAGATTCGGCAGGAAATGCCGCTCGCTTAACTCTCCCATCTGGGCCTGCCCCAGACAGGGCAGTCTCCTCTACGGGGGTACGTGGACTCCAGCCGGACAGGGCGTGAGTACCCCACCCCGGCCGCCACACTCACCAGGTAATTCATTGTGTCCAGCCGGCCTGCCTGGGGCCCCAGCTCCCCGCAGGGACGCACACCGAGCTGCCCGCGCCACACGCCCCGCCCTGAACGTGCCACAGGCGCCCAGGTCCAGGTCCGGCAGCCGCTGCCACCACGCCTGCCGCCGCCGCCGCCACCCAGAGCGGGGTCCCCTCTCGCTCCGCCCGCTGCGGGCCAGCCTAGCCCGGCTCCCGGCATTCCCAGCCGTGCACGCCCATTGGCCGCTGTGGCTCCCCATGCAAATGAACTGCCTGCCCACAGGGCGCGGGCACGAGCGGGAGTGCGCGGGCACGCGCCGCCCAGTGGACCAACCCCCACCCTCTACCAGCGCCACGCTATGCTCTAAGTGCTGCCGGCCAAATGCCAGGCTATAAGCCTAGTACACCGATATTTCCTTTTCTCCATCCAAATGCATGTCCCCAACCTATACCTTTGGAGAGAATGCGTCCCTCCTCAAAGGCCTTAGTCTCAAAGGCAACGCCGCCTCTTCTGGGCAGACTACGGACTGCCCTTTTTCTCTTCTTGCTCCTCCTCCCCCTCCTTCTCCTTGTACTTCTGCAGCTTTTGAGGCTCCAGCCTCAAGTTGACTTATGCCTTCCCCGCCCACCAACCCGGGGGCACCCCACGATGTCCTTCATGCCCTCAGACTCGGAGGTAATCTGAATCTGGAGGTAAAGGGGAGGGGGTCGCCCCAGCTGGCAGAAACTAATAACCACCATGGCAGGGACACAGGTCATGCCTACCTGTAAGAGCCCAAGGAAATGAAGACTTAAGACAGGAAGGTTGGTAACTGAGAGGGTGTGGAGCCTGAGCTCATCCTGTTCTACCAGACTGTTCGAGGCTCCAGTCCATTCATGGACAAGGGGCTTACCATCTCTCACCTTCTCCACTTAATTGAATCCAGCCTCCCTGAAGCATGCTCCCCCTCCCCTAAGGTCTCAGGCCTGCCCTAGGAGCTCTGACCTCATCCCAATCCCTTTGTCAGCCCTGTCCAGGCCTAACACACTAGCCCAACAGCTCATCTGTTTCAGCAACATGGTAGGGGTCTGCAGGTAATGAGAGAGAAGGAAGAGCCACTACCATCACCAGTGGGAAACTGAGTGGAAAGCGTCTTAGTTCTCCTGAGTCCCTACTCCCTAGGCTGCAGGTCACTGACTGTCACCTCACACAGCAGATCCAGGGTGTGCCCGTCCCTGAGCTTGGTTCAGGCTTGCACAGTGGCCTACAGGGAGATCTAGGATGGACCCTACTCCAGAACCAGTTTGGTGTCTTATTCCTGGATCCTCAGACAGTCAACATCCTGGGCCACTTACTAAGTATGCAGACACCATCAGGCAGCTTGCAGTGCCAGGGAAACAGTGGGGCACACTCGGCTTTGCCCTGCAGAGAACCCTGAGGCATGGCCTATAAAATATATATAAAGCCAATATATATCCACAGCCATCCCTCCACCTGACACACACCTGACACCCAGTCCAGGTGTACCACCATGGGCAGGCCCTTTCCTATATGTAAAATGAAGAGGCTGAACTAAGGCAGCCCAAGTCTGGCTGGTCATGGGTCCCCTGCAGAGCTTGTTAAAAAACATATTCCCAGGTCACCCCTCCAGAAAAAACATGTGGGGGAACCTGAGCATCTGCATTTCCTCAAAGCTTCTTGGGGAACCACCAGACAGAACTCACAGCATAAGGGGTGGGTAAGGAACAGTGGGATTTGGACACAATGGGACCCAGAATCCTCCAGGAGCAAAACAAATGGGTACCACCCTATGCCCTCCCCAAGACAGGCCCCCTCGTCACCCTCAAAACAGCCCACTTCCCCACAGAAGAAGAGCCAGCTCTCAGAGAAACACTGCCTAGAGCAGTGGTCGCCAACCAGTGGGTCTGTGAGGTCCAAAAGGTTGGCGACAGCTGGCCTAGGGCATCCTCTCCTGCGTATTCCCAATGGCTGTGTCCCAAAGTCAGACAAGAAGCTGTGGCCTCCCCTAACCCTGACCCCATTCCCAGGTTCCAAGGGAGCAGATCGAAGCCAACTGGGTCATGCATTAACATTTGTCTGGAGGGAGTCCTTAGGTTTATCCCAGGTCACCAATCCTGTGGGGTGAGAGGTGGGGAGCAGGCCTCACAGCCAGGCCTGTCCTGCAGGCAGGAGGTCTCTGCAGGGACAGGCTGGGACACCAAAGTCCTGGCCCGCAGCTCTGTCCTAGATGGCTTAGGGAGAGAGGAGGTGGCTGGCTGGGAACAAGGGAACAGGAAAAAGAGACCCTCTAGTAGTCTCTGGGGCTGGATTAAAGCAGCTCCGGGGGCGGGGTTGCTGGGGAGGGGGGGGTAGATGGGGGAAGGGAACCCAGCTCAGGCTCAGGCATTTCAAAAATTTGCTCCTTTTCCACTTAAACTCCCTCCCCCCAGCCTGTGCCTCCCAGAATGGCATTTCCGCTTTGGAATCAAGGCCCTAGGATCCGTGCCCGACTGTACAAGAAGGAGGGGAAGAGGAATGCCCCTTCCCAGGCCTGAGGGACATGGAGGACAGGACCCACTGGGCAGGCTATGATTGGGGTGTATCGTGTATAGGGGAGCAGACCCTCCTGGGCTGACAGCCCCCAGGACAGCCTTCTTGGGGCCCTGAGCCAAGGTTCTATGATCACACGCTCATTTCATGCCCACAGCAATTCTGCAAAACAGGCTTCACAACTGGCCCCATTTTCCAGATGAAGAGGTCAAGACCCAGTTTACAGCCCCTTTGCCCCAGACCCTACCTAAGTGGGAAGAACAACTTGGGACCCAGGTCCCATTCTCTGGGCTTTCCAGGTCTTATTCTGCAGGTCAGACCCACTGCACTATGAACAATTCTTGCTTTAGGCTCAACAATGTCTGTTGCAGCATTTATAACTGTAAACAAAGGGTTGGGGAATCACCTAAATGACCAACTATAGGGGACAGGTGAGGCAACTACAGCCTCAATGGAATATTGTGCAGCTATAGGATGGCCTCTTTCAAAGACCAAAAGCAAACAAGACCATGTTTATGACAATGGGAAGTGAAGAGAGCGACTCAAATGACTTGCACGGTGATGCAGCAGCCCTTCCCCTCCTAAAGCTTTGGTCTTCCCAGCAGCACCGAAGGGAGGCTGGATGGATCAGCGGATGGCTGGCTCTCAGAGCAACAGCAGGAAAGGATTTCCTGAGACCGGAGGTGAGTGCTGCCAGCCCCAGGGACAGGAAGAAATGATACATCTGAAGGGCCACAGGGTATCGAATTCAGCCTTCCCTCTGGGCTGGCCACTCACCGTGGCAAGCTCAAAACCAGCCTTCGAGCTGGAGCCAGCTCTGCCTGGGTCAGGGTGTCAAGGGACCCCTGTAGGTGGCCTGGAGAAGAGATGAGCCCAGCTGCATCAAGAACTGCCGTCTAACACACAGCCCAGACACGGTCCTCTCTGCCACACTGGGGGCCAGGACAGAGCTACCGCTACCCAGAGGTTCAGAGAGGGGTAGGGCCTTGCCCAGGTCCTACTGCCAGGAAGCGGCAAAACTACACCCATAACCTAGCTACCCAGGCGTGTCCCCATGGAAAAACACCCAGGTGACCCCAGACAGAGCAGAGTAGGCACTCTTAGGGCGGGTGTTAGAGCTGTCAGTCATAAGAGCTTTCCTATCCTCCGCTGACCTTTGAGGGTGGAGTAACCAATCAGGCAGTTCATTTGTCATTACAGCGGTGATTCTGACTGTGGGGAGGTGGGCGGGCCCCACAGCCTGGAGCCAAATCTCTCCCCAGTTACCTCCACTGGGGCAGGGAGGCTCTGGTCCTCAGCCTGACTTTCCCTTCTGTATCCCCCAGGCCAGTCCCAGAGATGTGGGTGCAGGGGCAGGGCCAGGACAAAAGGTGTGAGGATGGAGTGATCAGGTGCAGGGACAAAGTGAGGGATGGGGAGGGGGCCTCGGCTTGGGCAGAAGACAGACTGGCCTCCCAGATCCAGGCCTGGGTTCCAGAAAATCCAGTGCCCTCACCTTCCTGCACTTCCTTCCCTCCACACTCTGGCTGTTTCAAGGAACCGAAAGGAGCAGCATTCTTTCCTAATTCTGTTAACTGCTTTTCTAATTTGAAAATTAAAGCTCAGCAGGGGAACCTATAGGGAAGTGCCTGCTTCAGAAAGGGGCCCAGGGTCTCTCTGCCCAACTCAGGGTGCTGACTCTGGTACCCTCAGTCCCCCTTTCTCCTCTGCAGCCCCCTCTTCCACTCTCTAGGTGGGGGACCTTCCTGGGTGCTGTCAGGCAGGTGGGAGCTCTCCTAATGAGAAGGTTGGGGCCTGGGTGTATTTGCCCTTCTCCTTGGCACTGGGACACACGCCTGGCGTCCTCCCCTCAATACTGCCTGGAGGGTGAATCAGGCTGGCAGAAGAAACAGGGGTGGGGAAGACAGAGGCTGGGTTCTGGCTGAAGGAAAGGAGGGTGGGAGCAGGTGGGGCACAGAGGTAAGCCCGTCCTCAGGGAGAAAGCTTAGCTGCTGGTGGCCGCTGGGCTTGGGGTGACAGCCTGGGCAGGCAGGGACACAGGGTGTGGTCAAGAAGCCGGCCTCAGCCCTCCATCTGCTCTTGCTTCTCCCCATAGCAACCAGCCCAGCACATCAGGGCAGTCAGAGGCGGGTGACTTCACATGCCATCTGCTGTCTCCTCACCCCCGAGCCTGCTTGTGTAGGAGCAGAGGTACTCACACCCACAGAGACCCACAGAGATGTGGCAGGGGGTGGAACAGTGCTGCCCAGCCACACAGCTGAGATAGGAGGTCAGGGAACCAGTATTGTCACAGGAGGGGACTCTGAAGACTCGGGGAGCACTGGGGTGAGCATACAGGAAGGAGTGGATACAGAGCTAAGGCTGCCACTGGGAAGGAACTGTTTGTTCTCCCTTCTCAGGCCACACTGTGGAGCATCCCACCTGAGCCTGCTCCACCTACAGAGAAAGGCTCCGTTTGCCCCAGGAGACAGTAAAGATCCCAGACCCTCAGCCCATCAAGCAGCGTTCAGAGCCTTGGTTTGTGCAGACCCTCAGCACATCAAGCAGCTTTCAGAGCCTTGGTTTGTGCAGACCCTCAGCACATCAAGCAGCGTTCAGAGCCTTGGTTTGTGCAGACCCTCAGCACATCAAGCAGCTTTCAGAGCCTCGGTTTCTGAGTTTGTTAAGTGTAACCCAGTGGTTCCCAACGTGAGCCACACACCCCAAGGGGGGGGGCGATTTGATTTTTTAAGGGGGGCAATTTGAGAATAAATTATTAACAGTGAATTTTTTGCATTTCTTATGGTTCTAGGGGCCTCATATACAGTATATAAATATATATTGTGACATATTTATGCATTTCAGTTCTCTATTATGTTTTTTGAAACTTTATTTGCTATTTTTTCATCACTTCATATTATTATTTTTTAACAATTTCTTAATGATTTCTTCCTCAGTACTTCAAGTGTCCTTTTGTTCTTTTATTTTTCTCTTTCATGGATGCCATGTTCTTTGGAAGCTTGTTTAGATCAACTTAATGGTCTTTTAGGCTTCCTCCACATGAATAGGAGTTCACTTTTTGAATAACAAGAATTAGTATAGTCACAAGGGGGACATCAGGATTTTAGAGATGCTTAGGTGGAGTGTGGCCACAAAAAGATTGGGAACCACTGGTTAACCATCGCCAGCAGCCCTGCCGATCACAGGCCACCAGACTGAGGCATGGTGCATGGTGCACAGTGGCACCCTGGTATCAGCAGCACATCCCTCCCCTGCCCATCACACACCAGACCCATCCTGCCAGGCACCAGGGGGCAGGGGTGTTCTCCACTCAGCCCTTCTCTCCCAGCCCCTGCTCCGGAGCCCTGAGCTTCCCCTAATCCAGCAGTTTTCAACCTGTGGGTCTTGACTCCTTTGGGGGTCAAACAACCCTTTCACAGGGGTCGCCTAAGACCATCGGAAAAACACATATATAATGACATATTGTTTTTGTGATTAATCACTATGCTTTAATTATGTTCAATGTGTAACAATGAAAATACATCCTGCATATCAGATATTTACATTACGATTCATAACGGTAGCAACATCACAGTTATGAAGTAACCACGAAAATAATTTTATGGTTGGGGGTCACCACAACATGAGGAACTGTATTAAAGGGTCGCGGCGTTAGGAAGGTTGAGAACCACTGCCCTAGTCCCTGAACTATAAGAACAAAACCACAAGGGAGGCTCTGAGACAGAATCTTTCTGCTGAGCCCTGTTGCCCCAGATCCACAGCCGATGCAGGGGGTGGTGGGCAGGGTCTCCCCGCGGGTGTGTGGGGGTGGGGGTGGCTGGGTGCAGGCTCTGTCACATCATTAGTGTGCTGGTCATTCCTCTCACTAGCATACTGCGGCCTGGAAACGCATCCAGGTCTCTGGTTTGGGGGATGGGGGGTGGGGAGGGGGAGGCATAAACAAGGGAGCAGGGGTCTGGAGCAGAAGAGCAGAGGGCAGAGGGATGGCAGTGAGGACTGTTTTATACAAAGTGCCTGGGGCAGTGGGGAGGGCCTCTCTGGGGAGGTGGCATTTGAGTAGACATGTAAATCATTTGCTAAGGCTTATTATGAAGAAAAAAAGTGACAGTAAAGATTTGTAAAAATAGCACAGGCATGCCAACTCCCTCAGTGTGAAGAGCAGAGTCTGAAGTGTTAGGGACACAGGGAATGGCTCCCAAGCAATCCTCCCACCCCCCACCTGGGCTTCTTGAGTGGTGGGGTCTCTACGGGGCTGGGCCTCCCAGAGTTGAAGCAGAAGCAGCCAGGAGTATCTACCTGTTGGGGTGTCCTGGCAGGCAGCCAGGGATAAAGAGGAGTAGGGACAGGAGTAGTGGTCAAGAAGCCGGGGGAGGGATTCAGTCAGCTCCCAGGAAGGCCTCCATCCTCTCCTACCTCCTGCTCTCCTAGAAGCCTCTTCCCACCAGTGTCTCTGGAGTGGAAAGGGGCCCAGGAGAAACACAGGTAACTCAAAAACCTAAGGTGCTTCCCCCCACAAGCAATCTGGGAAAAGGGTTTCCAAACGCAGACACCTGAGGAGGGCTGTGAACAGAAAGGTGTTCACACCACTTTCTGAACAAGCACAGAGCAGGGGATCCAGGATTTAGTGGCACAAACTCCCGGGCCATGCCTCAAGGCACACATAAGTGGATATCAGGTTTTGTAAAATACTGACAACACTAGTGTTTCAGGACTTAAAAATACACAGCATACAAAAATTAGAGGCAGATATTGATCAGCAAGGGAATGGACAAATATATAAATCATATTCATAAATGGAACACGACTGGGATAGGTGCATCAGGGAGCCAGCAACAAAAAGAGAACTTCTATACAATACGTGGATGAAAATCTCAAAACCATTATGCTGAGTGAGAGAAGCCAGACCCCAAAGAGTACATACTATATGCTTCCACTTACATAAAGTTCAAGAACAGGTGAATCTAAGCCATGATGAGAGAAGTCAGAATATTGGCCACCTTACAGGGGACGGGGGACACTTGACTATAAAGTAATACTTACAGCCCTGGCTGGTGTGGCTCAGTTAGTTGGAGCATCGTTGAATACTCCAAAAGGCTGAGGGTTCAATTCCCAGCCAGGGCACATGCCCCCCGCTCTCTACAATCAGTAAGCATATCCTCAGGGGAGAATTTTAAAAAAGGGATACTTGCAAACTTTCTGAGATGATGGAGACATTACCTTGATTTGATTGATTGTTACATGGGTTCTACATTAGTCAAAACTCATCCAACTGCATAGCTAACATCTGTCCATTTCACTACATGGAAAATCTACCTTAGTAGAAGAGTTTCAACTGGTAAAAATAAAACAAAGCACAGAGGAAAAAATACATAGAATTAAGGATACCAAAAATAGGTAACGCAACCCTGAACCCATCTGACTGCCAGGCAGCTTAAAGTTAAATTTGTACGCCTATCTTCCCCATACACTACATAGCTTCTGGATCTTTTGATGACCCCAGACTATTTGTGTCCTTCACTATAATCTGCTTCAAATCCTTCTTGGAACTTGGTGGGGTTTAAATAATATAAAATGACTGAAAAGCCTTCTCAGCCTCTAATCTCCCTTAGAGAAGGGATTAATCTTAGAGCCAAACCTTGTGACCATCTCTCCTGCCGGAGTGGATATCCACTGCCACCTCTCCTGAGGTCCCCAACATGTCCCCAGCTCTTTTTCCTTTTCTTGAAGAGAGGAGACACTGGCCCAGCACAGTGACTAAGAGTAAGCTGAAGAAACGATGGGTGTGAGGAGGATGCAGGCAAAGCAAGCAGCTGGAAGGAAGCCAGGTCTAGGCTGGGGAGGACAAGGAGCACAGAGAGGAGAGGGAAAGGAACAGGCGCAGGTGCAGGTGCAGCGGATCTTAGGGAGCACAAACTTATGCCCAGGGTGGGAAGTGGGGGTCGGTAGGTGCCACCATCACAGCCTGGCGGCCCACCTGTCTCACTTGCAGGCATGAGCCCCTCCATTAAGGTCCAGGAACCCACTTCACCAGTGCTCTCCTTTCCACCAACGGCCCTCTTACTGCAGGTTGCTGCAGACCACATCTGAGGCCAGGCCTGCCCTCTGAGCCTACTCCTGGAGCACTCAGGGCAGGCCATCCACCTGCAGTTCACTCTGTCGGTGGGGTGAGATCAAGCAAGGCCCACCCATGGCTTATCCGAGGCTCAAAAGGAAGGGGTCCTGCAGGCAGGCGGGGGCAGGGGAGAGGCCAGGTCATCCCACCAATTAGGCCTTGGTGGGAACCACACCGACCATCAGAAAGGGGCACTGGAGGCAGACAGGGCAGACCATGGAGAATCGTGCTGGAGCCAGAAGTGGGTCTTGGTCACTGCACCAGCCAGCAGTGGCAGGGTAAAGATGATAACCTCAACAATAGTAGCTGCCATGACTGATTAGCCTTTTAGTAAGTGCTTTCTGCAACCCTTGCCAAGTTCTCACAAAACCCCAAGAGCTCAGCGCAGTTCACATCTCCATAATACAGAGGAGACAACAGGCTCAGAAACTCACTCGAGGTATAGATGACGCAGCGCCATTCGTTCCAGAGCTCTTGCTCTCAAGCCACCGAATATCCTCCCCAACTAGAGCAACCTCTCTGGGAACCCCACTCAGCCTTCCCAACAAGGCTCCGGGACAGTAGCTGAAATGCCAGCTCTCTGCACAAGGACACAGCCACCTGTCTGTGGGGACTCCTCAGTGCTCCCAGGGCCACATCCTTGGCAGGCAGTCAGGGCAAGCTGGGGCAGAGGCAGAGAGAGAGGAGCTGAGCTGGCCTGGATCCTACCCCAAGGAAGCCTGCAGTCTGGTGAGGGAACCTGACAGCAACCAAACAACCCCAACAATAAAGGCATAATCACAGATAGGGATCCCAGAGGGCTTCCCAGGGCAATGCCCTCAGCCTGAGCACTCAAGAGTGAGCAGGGCGACCTGGTGAGCAAGGCTGCGCTGGAGATCACTCCCTGCAGAGGGAGGTCCGCACAGAGCCAAGGCCAAGCAGGGAGAGGGGATGTGGCAGGGAGGGCATGCCTTATGCTCTGGAGACTGAATGAGGACTTTGGACCAGGACACTGCCTCTTCCCACCGTCCTCTTCTGAGCCATCCTACCAGGCTCCAGTTGTCCACAGCCTGGCTGCCAGGCCGGTGCCTCCTCACTCCCGGCCAGCTCCCCAGTCACAGCACTGGCTGGCACAGAGCCAGGCACGCAGGGCCCCGGGATCACCGGCGGAGGTTCCGCCAGGTGCCACACCTGGCCCACTGAGCTCCAGCGACCACTACTGGGGCTGCACAGGGCCAGACCCACCCTGCTGCACAGCCCTGGGCATGCCTCGTCTCCCAGGGGTGTGGAAGGGGTTACACGAACTCATGCTTGGAAAGCCACAAGCAGAGGGTCGGTCTCTCAGAAGCCTTGGCCTCTGTGGACAGCTCAACAAGCCGCAACCCCCACAATTAGAGAGGCCTTGCAGGATGA